TTTTTTTTTTTGGTGAAAATACACATAGCCGAAGTTACACCATTTTGAAAGTTTCGACATGTACAATTCATTGACATTGATTACGTTCTTACAGTTGTGTTGCTATTCTCACTATCCTTTTCCAAATTATTCCATCACCATTATCTTCAACTCACTGTCCCCTAGGCTTCCCATCAAACCTTTTGAGTTGCTGTTGTCAGTTTGATCTCACACAGATAATTCTTTCTTTTTTGTACCTTAGATGAAGGTTTGCAGAACAAATAGTTTCTCATTAAACAGTTAGTACACATATTGGCCTGTGACAATGGTTAACAATCCCAAGACAGGTCAACACTGTCCCTTCTCAGCTTTGGGTTCCCTATCACCAGCTTTCCTGTCCCCTCCTGCCTTCTAGTCCTTGTCCCTGGACTGCTTGGTTAATTTTTTAAATCTTTCACTTATAAGTGCATGTTGCATTTTATTTTAGGTATGTGGAAAAACACTGCCATGTGGTAATCATACATGTGAACAGATTTGCCATGTTGGTGCTTGTGGAGAATGTCCTCGATCTGGGAAAAGGTTCTGTCCATGTCAGAAATCAAGTAAGACTTTTCTAAAAAAATCTTCAGTGGGATATGACTTTAGCATGCTAACTTGAATAGGTTTAAAAAACAAAACCAAAAAACATATTACTCTAAGTAAATTAGATTTCTCTGAGAGTTCATAGTGTAGTTTCAATAATAATACAAATTTGTTACTACATATCTGTACATTCGGATGAGAGGATAATATAGGACACTGGGTAAGAACTCAGACTTTGGAGTCAGGCATCTCTGGGTTCAAATCCCACTTCCATGAATTACAGTTTCCTCAAGTTAAATGGGGACAATAATAGTACCTCCTTTATAAGATGATTGTGAGAATTAACTGATAAAAAGCACATAAATCATTTAGCATATTGCCTAGTGCACAACCCAGATAAACCATTGCCGTCAAGTCAATTATGGCTCATAGCGATCCGGTAGGACAGAGTAGAACTGCCCCATAGGGTTTCTGAGGCTGTAATCTTTATGGAAGCAGACTGCTGCATCTTTCTCCCGAGGAGCAGCTGGTGGGTTTAAACAGCTGATCTTCCGGTTAGCAGCTGAGTGCTTTAAACACTGTGCCATCGGGGCTTCTCTAGTACATGATGGAAACCTAATAATCATAAGGTATAGTCATTGTGTGTTTTAGATGAATTTAATTTTGGCTGTTTTACAGTAAAGGAATAATAGAGGTACAGTTTGAGTGTGTCCTTGAATATCCACCAATGCTAGAAAACGTATTTATAAGGTTATTTCCAACAGTTGTCATTGTGCGTTTATTTTAAAGGTGAGTTTCATAATTTTAAGTCATACCTTCATCTTTTTTTGTCCTGTGAAGTTGATAAGAGCAAAAAAAATTTTTCTTTTGTAAATCTACATGTTGTGGTAAGTGCTTGTAGAGATTTACATGGTCTTACTCATTTCTTTGGTTTAGTGTTTCTGAAATAGCCCATAAAAATGTGTTTCTTGAGGATAGTAACTTGTTATGTATCAAAAATCTTTTTAAAAAGCATAAACGTCTTTAGAAATATTAGTTACTGTCAGTAAATTAATTTTTTCCCAGTAATTCTGTGGATGCAAAATTCATAGTCTGAAAGAGCTTCGTTTAGGTAGCCTAAAAGCTATGGCACATTTTCAGTGCTTAATAATAACGTAGCTATCATTGACACTGATTTTTCCTGTCTGCTTTTAGAGTTTTCTTTGCCTTGTACAGAAGATGTGCCAACATGTGGAGACAGTTGTGACAAAGTACTTGAATGTGGAATCCATAGATGTTCACAGCGTTGTCATCGAGGTCCTTGTGAAACATGTAGACAAGTTAGTCGTCTTCTGTAATAGTTATGTTTAAGAGCTATGTAGCATAATATATCAAATGGGATTGTCTTGAGTTTTTTTTATTATCTACTTTCATCAATATCTATGTCATAATCTGTATCATCTGTATAAGAATTTAGTGACCTAGTATTTATGGCAAAGAAGAGTAGAGTGTGCTAGCATCAAATCTAAAAATTATCTTTTGTTTGTTTTTTCCTGGTAAAAGTTTGAACATTCTCATTTTTATAGTTTAGTGTGGGGTTGTTTGTTTCTGGGAGATTTTTAGAACAGTGATGAGTTAGACCTAATAATCATGAAAAGAAATCAATGCCTAGACTTAATTGAGATCTTAAAGTCATCTGTGCCATTTTGGTTTTGACCTGACTATAAGGTCAACAAATCAGCTTAGTAGAAAGTCTAATTTTTTTGCTTTACTGAGACATAAGTATTTTCAGAGTAGTGCGGCTTATAATATCTCTGGCTCAGTTCAGGGCAAGATTCAGGGTAGACATGCAGATGTTATTTTTCTAATTAGATGTAAGTGATTTTAATGTGATTTTTTTTTTTTTTTTACTGTTTAGTATAAGATTTCTACTAAATGTAGCAATGGAAATTTATATGAAGTTATTTTTGGAGTAAAGTAAAACACAAAAAATATTTTAGGAAATAGGGCTATGGTTTTCGTAAAGTCTTTAATACAAATTAGCTATTTATAAATTTTTTCTTCTTTAATTATAGAAACTAGAATATTAAAAAATCATGTCAACAAGTCAGCTTTAGTATCATTTATTTGATTCTTTAGGAAGTGGAAAAGCATTGTCGCTGTGGAAAGCATACAAAACGAATGCCATGCCATAAGCCCTATCTGTGTGAAACTAAGTGTATTAAGATGCGTGACTGTCAGAAGCATCAGTGTAGGAGAAAGGTATGTGTCATAAGCTTGGGAAGCTCTGATTTTAAAATTCTCTTGAATTTTTCTTTCTTTCTTTTTTTTTTTTTTTATATTTTATTGTACTTCTGGTGAAGGCTTACAGAACAGTTTCTCACGAAACAGTAGTACACATGTTGTTTTATGACATTGGTTAACAACCCCACAACATATTAACCCTCTAACTTCTCAACCTTTTTTTTTTTTTTGGTGAAAGTACCCATAGCCAAAGATACACCATTTCAAAAATTTCTACATGCACGGTTCAGTGACATTGACTACGCTCTTCCAATTGTGCTGTTTTGAATTTTTCTTTTTGTGACAATGATAAGCACTATATTGACTTGTTCCTAAAATGTTCATATTCTTTGCTTTCCTTATAAAATATTAATAAATATTGTAGGTTAATGCTAATTATTTGTACTGGTGGGATATTGTATCAATTTTTCTTTTTTCATTGACAAGAGTCTCTCTTTGCCCTGTGCATTATACTCTCAGCTTGGTTCTTGGAGGACTGTTTTGTTCCTTGATTTTAGAATATCATTAGCAGTATTATTGGGATAGTTCATTTGGAAGCTTAATTTCTATTGTTGAAATCTGATTTGTAGAAGCTTGGCTCAGTAGAAGGTAGACTGGAGTAGTTTATTGAGTCTGTAGATTTGCAGTTCCTTTTTGTTCCTTTCATTATTATGAGATATCCCTTTGTCTCTGGTAAGATTCATTGCTTTTTAAATCTACTGGAATATAACTATTCTAGTTTTCTTTTGGTTGATGTTAACATGGTATATCTTTTTCCATTCTTTTACTTTTATCCTATTTATATCTTTATATTTAAAGTGGACTTCTTGTAGACAGCATTTAGTGGGTATTGCTTTTTTTTGAAAAATCCAAGTTGACAATCTTTGTCTTTTGAGTAGAGGCCATTTACATTTAATGTGATGTTTAATGTGGTTGGATTTAAATCTGCTATCTTGCTATTTATTTTCCGTTTATCCATCTGATTTTTGTTCTTTTTTTCTATCATTCTGTATTTGTGATCAAATATTTTTCTATGATTTCATTTTATCTCCTTTATTTGCTTATTAGTTATAACTCCCTTTTCTTCTTTTATTATTTTTTTTGTGTGGGAGGAGGGTGGTTGCTTTAAGGCTTAATGTAGTATAAGAACCTTATAGTGGTGTACTGTCCTTTCTCCTGACCTTTATGGTATGATTGTTATACATTTTATATCTGTGTATTTTATATATCTAAATAAATTATTACTATTTTTGCCTTAAACAGTTATCTTTTAAAGATTTTAAAAAATAAGGAAAAGAAGTGTTATATTTATCCTCGTATTTATTTATGCTTTTTGGTGCTCTTCATTCTTTGGGATAGATTCAGATTTCCATCTGGTTTCATTTTCCTTAGAATTGAAAGACTTCTTTTAACATTTCTTATAGTACTGGTCATGAATTCTTTCAGCTTTTGTATATCTGTAAGTTTCTAGCCTTCATTTGTGAAAAATATTTTTACCCTGGAATTCTAATTTGATAGTTTTTATTCCCCTTCAAGATGTTGTTTCACTATCGTTTAGCTTGTATTTTTCCTGACAGGGTGTGTGCTGTGATTCTTATCTTTGTTTCTCTGTATGTAATGTATTTTTGTTTCTTCTGGCTGGTTTTTAAGATTTTTCTCATTATCACCAGTTTTTAGCAATTTTTTTGTTTTCCTCTGTGTAGTTTTTTCCTATTTCTTTAGCTTGGTTTTCATTGAGCTTCTTGGATCACTGGGTTTATAGTCTTCATCAGATTTGTAAAATTTTTGGTCTTTATTTCTTCAAATTTTTTTTCTGTTTCTCCCACCTACCACCTTCTGGGACTCCAATTATGTATATATTCTTGAAGTCCGACAGCTCACGGGTGCTATATTTATTTATTTTTAATCTCTATGTTTTATTGTGGAGAGTTTCTATAGCTCTGTCTTCTGCTTTGTATTCTATCCAATGTATTTCTCACCTCAGTCATTGTACATATTCATCTCTAGGAGTTTGATTTGGATTTTTTTTGTATCTTCCATGTCTCTCCTTAGCATGTTCTGCTTTCCCCTATCTTCTTGAATATATGAATAGAGTATATTTAAAATTCCTATTTTTATGTCTTTGCTAATTCTGTCATCTGTCATTTCTGCCTCTTTGCCTGCTGAGTAATTTTTTACTGGTTCCTGGTTTCTGGACATTGTGAACTTCACATTTTTGGGTGATAATTTTTTTTTTCTTATATATTTTTCAGCTTTGCTCTGGGGCAAAGTTAAGTTACTTGGAAACAATTCATTCCTTTTGAGGCTTAATTTTGCTAGGTATGACCAGAGCAGCCTTTTGTCTAGGGCTAATTTGGCCCCACTGCTAAGGCAACCCTGGTGGTGTAGTGGTTAGAGTTCGGCTGCTAACCTATTAAGATCGGCAGTTCGAATCCACCAGGTGCTCCTTGAAAACCCTATGGGGTGGTTCTACTCTGTCCTACAGGGTTGCTATGAGTTGGAATCGACTTGATGGCAGTGGGAGGTACTAAGGCAATAATTCCTCTAAGTACTCTGTGTATTAGATGTTGGTCCTTCCACTCAGGCTGTAGGGGACACAAACTATTCTTAGCTCTTTATAATCTCTGGAAATGATTCTGCCTACTGCTTCCTGTGGCTCTTTCTCAGCTTTTGCATAGTTTTGTCTAGTACATGTGCAGACCAGTACTCAGCCAGACTCAAGGAGTCTCTTTTGGAGTTCTCCAGAGCTCTCTCTGTACAGCTAACTTCTTTTCAGATCCCATGGTTTGAGAATAGCTGCCAAATTAATCAGTACATTGAACTGATTTTATTATTTTAATTAAATTTAAAAATTAGCCACACTAATTGTTTGCCCCAAGTTGTCTATAGAATTTGACCCCATCTGTTGCTTTGGTTAATATTGCCAGTCTCTGTATAAATAAATAACCAAAAAACCCATTGCAGTCAAGTCAATTCTGACCCATAGTGACCCTATAGGACAGAGTAGAACTGCCCCATAGGATTTCCAAGGCTGTAATCTTCACAGAAGTAGCCTGCCACATCTTTCTCCTGTGGAACACCTGGTGGGTTCGAACTGCCAAGCTTTCAGATAGCAGCTGAGCACTTAACCACTGCACCATCAAGGGCTCCTGTATAAATAAATAGAAATGAATTTATGCGTTTTGAGTCATAGAGTAATTAACTGAAAGGCAAAAAAAAATTTGATTGATTTCATTAAATTAGGTCATTGTCTCTTTAAATTTCTGAGTTCTTAATACAGTGCATCTGCTTATCAGAAGAATGTTTATATTCTTTAATACTTTTATTCTTATATTGAAAATAAATATCTTTTGCTTTCCATAAGTTCTGTGAATAACTAGTAATGACATTCATATTGTGTATGGGTTTTCAAATTACTTGTTCTTTATATATTGCTTTCTCTTCAGTGTTGCCCTGGAAATTGTCCACCTTGTGATCAAAACTGTGGACGGACTTTAGGATGTAGAAACCATAAGTGTCCATCTGTCTGCCACAGAGGTAAAATTTTATATTTGTATTTACATAGTGCTTTATAGTTGATAGAGCGCTTTCACGTTTGTTATCTTACTTGATCCTTCTAATAATGTTGAGGACAAGGTAAGGCAGTCACCAGTGTCTCTCTTTTATGGACAAGGAGACTGAAGCTGAGGGTTCAGTGACTTAGGAAAATATTTAGTAAAGTAGTAGAGCCAAGACTTGAACCCAGATCTTGTTCAAATAAAAGTTTTGCTCTTTCGGTAACACTGTGTTGTTTCTTCACTTCCTCCCAACTTTTCCCACCCAGTTTTTAAATTAAGACATTCATAGTTTTTGCAGTTTTATTCTGAATTTTAGACATTTATATGGAATTAAATCTAGTAAGGCATTGGATATTTCCTAAGGCAGTGGTTCTCAAACTTTTTTGTCTGAGGACCCTTTTACATTCTTTGGGACCTCAAAGAACTTTCATTAATGTAAGTTTTATCCATTGATATTTATTATATTAGAAATTAAAATCAAATGTAATAATCATTTATTTATTTAAAATTAGTAATCATAAACCCATTACATCTTAACATAAATAATGTTTTTCATGAAAAATAATTATACTTTCTGAAATTAAAAAAATTAGAAGAGTGGTATTGTTTTTTGCAAATGTCTTTAATGTCTAGCTTAATTGAAGATAGCTAGATTCACATATCTGCTTCTGCATTTATTCTGTAGTAATATTTGTCACATAGCCTCTAGAATAAACTACTGGATGTATGTGAGAGAAAAACATCTTAGTGTTATACTATTATGAAAATAATTTTGACCTTGCAAACTTCCTAGGGATCCCCGGACCATACTTTGAAAATTGTGTCCTAAGTTACTGCTAGACATTGAAAACTTAAATGAGTTAACTTTAGTCCTTTGGAGTATTTCATGCTTCTTAAATGGGCAGAACACTAATGTTGATATGAAATAAAATCTATTGAGAAAAATCCTACAAAATATATGGAATTAACCATTATTTGATTTAATGAGGTAACAGGCAATGACACTGTTGACCTGAGTTCACATAACTAGTTGCAGGGTCAACCCAAAGTTTATGATATATTTATAGTATCCCATATCCTCCCCATTAGGAAAAGTATCAGATTGTGTTATCCCTGTAGACATTTCCTATGGGTGTCTTCTTTGAATTACGATGTTTAGAACTAGTGTTTAGATATGTTCTCACTGTCACTAAATGGATTTTATTTCTGCACTGTCAGGGTTCTCTCTGGCTAATCCTACTTGCTGTGCCAGTTGTATCAAAGCAGTCCAGAGAGGCTGAGATCATCCATCTTTGATGCCATATGTGTGGTGTATATTAAATCCTACTCTACACACCAACTGTGTCCTGTAGAAATCTCAGCTTCCCTTCCCTGGTCAGTCCCAAACACCTGGTGCTCCCTGCAGCCTTTTCTCATCCTCATTCACCATGGGATAGGTCAGCTAGGTCAACGAGTATTGGTTCCTTCTCTTGTTTCTTAGGTCCCATAATCTGTTGGAATGACTCACAAACTTCAGGAAAAGGACTGTCTTTAGTAGGGGAAAAAAGGGATACAAACACACAAGGTGAGGTCAGGGAGTTGTTTCTGGGCAGAGCTTCCATGTTCCCAGGGTACGTACTTAAAAGAGTACATACTTGTTCTCACCACTCAGGAAGCTCATTGAGTCTCTCTTCCAAGGCCTTTATTGTCCTCACCACCTGGCCATGATAGATTACATCTTTCCTCCTGAGGCTTAGTCAACATTCGGCTCAGGTGGTCTCTCTTGGTCTGGTCAGCACCCCCCCCCCCCCCCCGCCATTGATTGGCTTCAGGTGTGGTTCAGCTCTCAGGAACCAGGACCAGAAGCCAAATTGTTAACTGCAAGGGGGTTCCACACCTTGCAGTTTCCTGTCAGTCTTGCTACACCATTAACCCATTCAGTTTAAATTCAGTTAAAATTCTTAAGTCATTAATTCGTTCAATAAGTGTTTTTCAATATAGGCACTGGGATTACATGAATGAAGAACATTGACAAAGTCCCTGCTATTGTGGAAATTATTTTTAGAATGCAAGTAAATAATGAAATTAATATAGGGCGTCAAGTAGTGACAGATATAAAACGAAAAGTAAAATAAAAATTTTGACGGTGGGAATGGTGTATATTATTTTATACAGTGTGATCGGGGTGGATTCTCTGAAAAGATAGTATTTGAGAGGCAGTCTGAAGAAAGTAAGAGATCAAGTTGGGGGGAGTAGTGCTCCAGGCAAGAAAGCAGTGATTGCAAAGGCCCTGAGACATGAACATGCTTGACACTTGGAAGAACAGCAAGGAGGCCAGTGTGATGGAAGCGGAGTGCTTAAGCGGGCAAGTGGTAGGAGATGACATCAAAGAGATAGTGTGATAAAGGATTGCTGGGGAAGGGAGAGATATTATAGGGCCTTTAGACCATTGTTGGAGACTTGGTGGTACAGTGATTAAGAGCTTGGCTGCTGAACAAAAGGTCAGCAGTTCGAATCCACCAGCTGCTCCTTGGAAACCCTATGTGGCAGTTCTACCCTGTCCTATAGGGTTGCTATGAGTTGAAATCGACTCTACGGCAGCGGGTTTGTTTTTTTTGTTTAGACTGTTGTTAAAACACTGGCGTTTACTTTCAGTAGGAAACCTAACTAGTTCTGTCACCATTAAAGAAATTGGATCAGTAGTTTAAAATTTTCCCACCAAGGCCTGGTTCATTTTTACAAATGATTTCTAACAAGTAAACATTTAAGGAACGCATAATTTCAGTCTCTTCATAAACTACTTGAGAGTTCTTATATAAAAAGGAAGACACTCCAAGTCATTATATCATTTGATGGGAGTAAGAGAGAAAATTACAAACCAGCCTAACCTATGAACAGTTTTGCAAAATATTAAAGGTTTAGCTGCTGAAATCCAGCTATCCAATACAATAATAATTATCCATATTCTTAATTTATCATGACCAAGTTGAGTTTATTCCAATAATGTAAGGCTAGTTTAAGGTGCTTGTTAGTTGCTGTTGAGTTGGCCCCCAACTCGTGGGAACTCCATGCACAACGGAACGAAATGCTGCCTGGTCCTGCACCATCTCTGTGATCACTTGCCGCTTAAGACCATTGTGATCTATAGGGTTTTCGTTGGCTGATTTTTAGAAGTACATCACTGCCTTTTTTCGTAGTCTGTCTTAGTCTGGAAGGTCTGCCGAAACCTAGTCAACATCATAGAAACATGCAAGCCTCCACTGACAAATGGGTGGTGGCTGCATATGAAGTGTATTGGTCAGGAATCCAATCCGGGTCTTCTGCATGGAAGGCGAGAATTCTACCACTGAACTGCCCCAGGCCCATGGTTTAACATTAGAAAATCTAATAATGTAATATATCACATTAACAGATTAAGGGAGAAAAGAGATCATCTTAGTAAATGTCTAAAAAACAGTAAAATCAACATCCGTATATAATGTAAACTTAACTGGAAATAGGAGGGAGCACCCTGAACCTGATTTAAGAGTATCTGCAAAAAGACTGAAACATCATACTTACTGGAGAAGTTGTAAGCATTTCCCCCTTGTATTATTTTGAAGCCAATCCCATAAATATTTTAGCATTCATCTTTAAAAAGTAGACTCTTAACAAAAACCATAACAACAGTGATACAGCATTTTGAAACCTGAAATGATTAACATATTTTTTAATATCAGAATATCGGGTGCTCAAATTCCAGTTGTCATATAAATGTTAACGAGTTTTACTTCAGTTTCTATGACTCAGATACCTAATAAAATTAACGTGTTGCTATTGGTTGATGTCTCTAAAGTCTTCTAATTCATAATTTCCCTTCTCCATCTCCTTTGTTTCTTCTTGTGACTTTTGTTTATTGAAGAAACTAGATCATTTGCCTTATTATTTTTTTATTTTCAAATCATATTTTAATTTTTTTATTGTACTTTAAATGAAGGTTTACAGAACAAATAGTTTCTCATTAAACAGTTAATACACACATTGTTTTATGACATTGGTTAACAACCCCATTGACATGTCAGCACTCTCCCTTCTTGACCTTGGGTTCCCTGTTACAAGCTTTTCTATCCCCTGCTACCTTCTAGTCCTTGTCCCTGGGCTGTTGTGCCCCATTAGTCTCGTTTTTTTTTTTATGGGGCTGTCTCATCTTTGGCTGAAGGGTGAACCTTGGGAGTGACTTCAGTACTGAGCTAAAAGGGTGTCGGGGGGCTATACTCTTGGGATTTCTCCAGTGTCAGGCCAGTGAGTCTGGTCTTTTTTGTGAGTTAGAATTTTGTTCTACAGTTTTCTCCAGCTTTGTCCGGGACCCTCTGTTGGTGATCCCTGTGAGAGCAGTCGGTGGTAGCCAGGCACCCTTTAGTTGTACTGGACTCAGTCTGGTGGAGGCCGTGGTAGTTGCGGTTCATTAGTCCTTTGTTCTGATCTTTCCCTTATATCCTGTTTTCTTCATTCTCCCTTGCTCCTGAAGGGTTGAGACCAGTGGAGTATCTTAGATGGCTGCTCACAAGCTTTTAAGACCCCAGACGCTACCCACCAAGGTAGAATGTAGAACATTTTGTTTATAAACTATGTTATACCATTTGAGCAATGTTCCCCAAGACCATGGTCCCTGCAGGCCTCCGCCCAGCAATTGGGTCCCTCAGGTAGTTTGGATGTGTCTGTGGAGCTTCCATGACCTTGCCTTGTACAAGCTGTGCTGGCCTCCCCAGTATTGCGTAGTGTCTTACCCTTCACCAAACTTAACACTTACGTATTGTCTATTTAGTATTCCCCCCATCCCTCGTAACTGTCAGAGACTGTTTCTTTTTGTGTGTAAACCTTTTCATGAATTTTTACTGTAGTGGTCTCATACAGTATTTGTCCTTTCATGATTGACTTATTTGCCTTAGCATAGTGTTCTCCAGTTTCATCCATGTTATAAGATGCTTTGCAGATTCATCATTGTTCTTTATCGTTGTGTAA